TTTTAATATAATGCTGTTACTTGGCTTCATGCCTAGGCCATAAAAATTAAAATTAGATAAGAATATCATATACTATTAATACTTTCATCCTATTAATAATATCATATACCATGGTTTTCAAAACCGGACTGGACCGGACAGTTGGATCAAAAAAATCGGGAATCAGTTAAGTGATCGGTTCCATTTTACCTCAAAACCATTGATTTGGTCAGTAAATCATTGATCTGAGTGTTCAAACTGTTCCAACCATCCACGGTTTTAGCCATTTTTATTTTTTTGTCAAAATGGGTTATTCGTTCAATTCGAACAGTTAGATTGTTCGACCCAGGAACTGGACCCCTAACCGATTCATTGTCCAATTCGGTTTTAAAAATCTTGTCGCATACTATACAGTTCTTCAAATACTAATAAAAAACCTTTCATCCTATTGTAATTGTAACAAACCCAAGAAGAAGATAAATGATTGGAAAATAATAAATACAAGAAAATTGCAAAATAGAATATACAATAACATACACATAAATTTACATGGTTCTACTTATAACGAACATCCATGGGCCTTAAAGTAGAAGAAATCCACTAATGAATAATAAAATTTATAATTATAGTGTTCACAGCCTCTCACCAAAACCCTAGCTCCCAAAAACACCCGAAGTTCACTCTCTCCACACTCTTGCCCTCTTTTCTTTGCCCCCAAGATACAAGGCACAAACATTGCCATTTATACAAGAAAGGAAAATTGTCTAAAACTCACCATGAGTTTTAAGCATTTCTCTTAAACTCACCACTACTTTTCAAAATGTCTAAAACTCACCATGTCACTAACTTGACGTTAAACAAACTAACGGGTGTTAATATATTACCATTTTAATACTTAGACATGAAAAAGGAAAAAAGTTTAAAAAATATTTTTCAAATATAAAATACATAAAAACATAGAAATTACAAAAAATATAAAAAATTATAGAGATTGCAAACAAAATAAAAAATTATTTTCAAATTATAGAAACTATAGAAATTGAAAAACAAAATTAGAAAATAAAAATTGTAGAAAAGACACCAAAAATTATAGAGAAACACAGAAATTACAAATAAATAAAAAATACAAGAAAATTTATAGATTATAGAAAATAGAAAAATGCAAAAAGACGGAAATTATAAAAAAAAACACTAAAAATGTAAAAACAAAAAAAAATTGAAAACTGAAAAGACCATTTTTCCTCTAACTCACCATTCAAGGGCAATTTGGTTATGAAAATTGTTATTTATGGTGACATGGACACCTCTATTAAGAGCACTAACGGTGCACTAACAAAAGGTGAGTTTTGGAAAATAAAAACTTTCTGACATGGTGAGTTTTTAGACATTTTGAAAAGTTGTGGTGAGTTTAAGAGAAATATTGAAAACTCATGGTAAGTTTTAGATAACTTCCCTACAAGAAAAAAACCTAAACTGGGTAGGCCCCATAAAAATGCTAAAACGCTAAATCTCATGAAATCTCGCTACAAGTCCAACTTACAAGTTGTAAGCTATGACAATTAATCGGCTATTGTGATCTATGATGCCAACCTAACTCAAGTGTGGTTGCCTTAGCACTACGACACCATACTGCGAGGGCTAAACCCCAGGCTAGAGGTGTTCATTATATGTTCTAACAAGAATAATCTAATTTCTCTTTCATTAATTAGTCAATTACTCCAAAGCAAATTTAAATTTAAATTTGAATTTTAGCACCTAATTCAAATTCTCTCATTAATTCCTTTAATTAATGATCCCCTCTCATTAATTTCGTACTTGATTTTAACAACCACAAGTTCGCTAATGAGCCACACATATTTGTTTGCTATGATCATATGTATTTTTAATTTTAAGTAAATTTGCACTTTTCTTAATTTGTGACAAGTGTTTATTAATAAATACTAGAATTAATTATTAAAATTTATATACTAATAGGGTGCAACTATGATATGAAAAAGATATGATATCTGAAAAACAACTAACCAATAAAGTGAAATCATAAACATGGTAGCAAATAACGTGTTATTTATCAAAATTCATGGGTGGGTTTTGATTGGTCATCATATCTTTCACGCATCATAGATTTACCCATACTAATAAATATTAAGATTAACTATATTGGTTTTTTGAAAATTGGCATTCACATTTTAGTTTTTTTGTTTTTTTTTTTTTACATTTTAGTTATTCCATCATTTTCAACGGTTACTAATTGTGTCCCAATATGTCATACTTTATATAAACCATTAAATTATGGTTTTTTTTACATTTAAATGACTTATTTACAACCATATAAAATTTATAAATATTGTTAGCAATATATATTTTAGGATTTATTTGAATTTTCTACTATATTTATGTATATCTTAATTTTTTGTCCGTATCCATATATATCCAAAATGTATTTCAATACGTCTCTTAAAATTATTTTTCGGTACATTTTGTGTTTCCAAAACTTTAAACCTTGTTTAAAACCCATATAAAAGATTAATTTTCAACTTACTGTTAGCCCAAATAGTTGAACCCAATTTGAATCGTCACCCGTATCTCAATTCTGGGTCCAATTCTCCTAAAACCCAGAATTTCTTCAAAATGCATTGACTTAATCAAAAATCGTTTAACACAAGTGGTTGAACCACTGATCAACTTATTCTATTAGTATAGTCAAGTGCTTTGACAATTCTATATTGAATGATTTATTCATTTTTCTAGTAGGAGATTTTTATTATTACAATCAGTTGAGTGTGTTATGTTCCACTTCTATATATTCCTTTTTTTTTCTCTTTGTTCTTTCCTTTTTTTTAAGAATCTAGATATGCCACGAGCCCCCACCCACAAAGTACAGATAAACATAAGTTATGTGGGCCACTAGGGGATTTCCTGATGACCTATGGGATAGAGGAGGTGTTTATTACAAAAAATACTTAGGTTTTAGTATCGTGCTTTTTAAGGCCCACAAATAGGAATGGTAATGGGTGGGTTCAGGGCAGGGATTAAATTCCCTGTTCTTGCCCCCAATTCTGAAATTAACCCTCATCCCCGTTTTGGGGATAAAATTTGTCCTTCATCTCCAATCCTTGATAGGAATGAGTTCCTCACGGGGATTCAAATTTTCGAAATTTTTAAATAATAGTATTTTTTGAAAAAAATAAATTTACTTAAATAAATAAATATTTTAAATTATAAATAATGTTTTAAATATATTTTGATATTTATATAAATAATATATGTTTAATATAAATAAAATTTATATATATAATCAGGTCGGGTTGGGCGGGAACCTCAATCCCCATCTCCTACCCCAACCCAGATAGGAGATTCGTATTAATCCCCGTCCCAACCCCGCCCTGGGGAAAATTGTCATCCCTACCCACAGACCCTCTCGATTGTACCACAAGCATTTCCTTTTAATTTTTCCTGTCTTTTTAAGGGAAGTGAGATGCTCATTCAACACACTATGAGTATGAACGTGTCTAACAGCAACAAATGCATTTGGAACAACAAACAAAATGAGATTTTTTAGAATTATGCAGATTTTACTGTAACTCGAATGCATTGTATTTTTAATATATGATTATCAACTTCAGATTAGTTTCAACTGAAAGCCCCACAAAGTGTAGCTTGGAAACTTTTATGGTCACTGTCTTTTATTTTTTATATGTTTATTCTTTTCGCAACGGTTGTTTCAAGTATTAACAAAAATATATGAACTTGTTTAATTAGGAAATTTAGCAAACGTAATTTTGCAACTTTAATTAGAGGACACCAACAAAGATTTTAGACAAGATATTTACAGGTACTTCGAACTGTTGCTATTTTTACATGTAAAATATAAATAATACTTCTATCACCATACCCATACCTATAAAGACCATAACAGACCATTAGTACCCGAAACCATCCAACACTGGTTTCGGGAAAAAACCGGAGAAAATTAACAGCAGAAGAAAGGGATGAGCTGAGAAACCCTTGGCTGTCCATGTTTCTCAGCCTGGGCTGTCACCAGGATTCTCTCTGCATCATACGTTAGTTGATTCCAGAATCCATCCAACACTGATACTGTCAATGAACTAACACGAAGTTGTGTGAAGTAAGCCTTCGACCAAATCAAACACTCGACCCTTGTGTTGAATTTCTGGGGGTACCCGTCCATGAATTAAAGAGCAAAATCTGTTGATTCTCTGGTTCAGCCATAAAAAAGACTATTATCATTATACGGACTTAACCAGCCAGATAAAACGCTTCTGAATTTTGTTCTGAATAAAATTGGTAAATGAGAATCCCCAATCTGAAGCCAAAAAAATCGGATTCCCCAATTGTCTGTGACGTGCAAGACCGCCCCACCCCCACCCAGTCACACGCGGTAAAAACTAACTAAAATCAATACTTCTTGGCTGCAACCCCATCACATTCTTGAGAAAGGTAAATACCGTAGAAACACTGAGAAGATCGGGGATAGAGATATTATCTTTTGATGGGCATACGACATAATCAGAATAATTTGTATCAATGTTCAGACCACTTGAGTATAGACATAATGGAACTTTGGCAGCCGATAACCTTCTTGTTCCCTAGACCAAATTATGCAAAATTGCTTCAATTAGCAATATTAGCAACAGAATCCCATTGAAAGAGGACAGAGTATCTTTCATAGTTTTGGTAGGTGGAAGGAAAGGAGTTGTTTTCTTGCCAATCAATTATAAGTATCCTAGTATATAATCCCACTTGCTAGTAATTTGTCATGGAAATCCATCTTTTCTATTGATGTTCTAAAGGAATGAAAAATGACACAAAAATAGAGAAAGAATTAAAGAAAGAAGAGACCGTCCTTTGATTCTTCTCCCCTCTTGTTGTTCTTTGTCCTGCACCAGCTTGTGGCTCTTATAGTTATACCGTATTGGCGTATTTGTACCCTTTTAGAAAACAGATTCGCCAACTGTCTCTGCCCCATCACGCTTTACTCCAGTTTATAAGGAGCACGCATGGCAATCTCTTGTTCAAGCCATCCTTCAGTTCCCCTCCCTCGACTGGAGCAGTTCTCTGTCCATCCATTTTGTGTTCTCTCATCTCTCTATTAGCATTTCGATTCACCAATTCCCGAACTTCAACGCACATACAACTCCTTGCCATCAACTGCCTTTTCTCTTTGCCATCCACAATACTCCATTAGCCTCTTTGTCCTTCACAGCAACTCTTAATTTCTTAGTAGAGTTAAATTTCACATTCATCCCTTACTAAACTAATGGCATCCAGCTCTCTGCGCGGCTCATCAAGCTCAACTTGGACACCCAAACAGAACAAATTATTCGAGAAGGCCCTGGCCTTATATGACAAGGACACCCCCGACCGATGGCAAAATGTGGCCAAGGCCGTAGGTGGAAAATCTGCAGAGGAAGTAAAGAGGCACTATGAGATCCTCATAGAGGATCTCAAGCATATTGAGTCTGGCAAAGTTCCTTTCCCCAATTACAAGTCTTCGGGGAGTAGCAGCCAGGGCATCGGTGACGAGGAGCAAAGGTAGTATACCAGTAACTCCATTACCTACTACTATACCCAATTAGATTGTTTTCGTAAGTTTGTTCCTGGTCCCATCTTCGTGCACCCAATGTTCCATTTTCTCTGCGTAGGCTCAAGAGCCATAACTGATCAATAAGACTTACCCTGGATCATATATACATACATATATATAGATAGATAGATAGATAGATAGATAGATAGATAGATAGATAGATAGATAGATACTAGGCTCTAATGTTTCAAGCATAATATACTAGTGACTAGTTCTAGGTTCAATAAGAATCGTTCTATGGAGCGGCCTCAGTATTTCATTCTGCTTTTTGAATTCCTTCCAGACTTGCTATATTACTCGTCGTCACTTGAGAACGGTGCTTTTTAAATCTAGATGGCACTTTGTCTGATAAATAGTTAACTGAAACTTTACTGTTTGAATTTCTAATTTTACTTTTCAAACAGAACAATTGAGAATGCGTAAATTCTCTATATGGATTCATGACTGTTTCTTCTTGTACAGGCTTTTGGAGTATCTAAAGCTCCAGTGAAGTCTAAAGACCATGTACTAAAGTAGATCATATCAGCAGATCTGTAAAAGAAAGTAGATGCAGAAGCGTGGAAAAGCTAAACTCTCTGCCGTGATTCTCCTTTAGTTTCTTTCTCCCTTTTCTTTTTCACTCCAGAAGTCGTTATAAATATATAATTGAAAGCTTGAAACAAGGATGAACCATCAGCTAGTGGTCTCTCCTTCTTCGTCTATGTACTGTAATAAACTAGCAACTTCTCTAATGCAAGTATGTATTCTGCATTTGTGTCTACATTAGCAAGCACTTGTCCACTTTCCTAATTAAATCAACAAAAGAAAAAAAAATGGAGATCTAGAAGGGGAACTACATCTTAAGAGAACATTAAACGATCAAATACTCATCATCTACTGGATCGGATTCCCTAAATCAAAGGTAGTAGCACCAATAATCATCACTATCCACTTGGCTATGGAGATCAATTATATCTGAGACGTAATAAAAGGAAACGAAAACCTAGCACATTTTCAAACTGAAGAAAGAAAAGAAAGAAAGAAATTAAAAAAAGAATTGATGACGATCGGAACAGAGGAACGATGACGGAGTATGGAATCCCTGCTAATAGATAAAGATCGCTTACCTGATTGGCACATTCTGGTCGGAATCAAGAGCTTCCATCTCGAATTCTTGGAAGCAATTGCTGAATAACGAAAAAGATTGGTGGATGACAAAAACTGAAAAAAAAAAAAGTAATAAAAATCGGTGCTGAGATGAGAACCAAGGAAACCGTTTCGGCGAAGCATGATAAATAGATGGTTTTCTAGACTACTTCAGAAAGGACAGGGAGGCGGGAAACTTCAAAACCACCAAGAGAGCATCATATTACTGGGTACTGGCCCAACCAGTAGTAAACTGGGACCGGAGCATTCGAAGCGCTCAAAAATCCGCTACGCCCGTTGGAGTTGCCACGGGCTAGAACCACGAATCACGGCCCTTAGATGTATTGTTTGTGGCCTCACCTTGAATCGGATGAAGTGAATTAAGATGGGCAACAGAAACGCATCAATGGCAGTGATTTCACAGTTTTTCCAGGGATACGCTGCATCACTGTGTACGGAATGGAAAACTTTGACCGTACAGAAAAATAAAATAAAAAAACAGGATGGGTCGTTCTCCGTGTGAATTTAAACGTGTAGGGTAAAAAAAGAAAGGGATTACAAATTCACAATCAATATTCTAACACAAACAATCAGAGACTTCACTCGAGCGGTGGGAGTAACCGATAACGTATCATATCATATGTAATAAATCGCCTAAACAGTTGAGGTTGTTTCTTCCAAACAGCTATTAGACCGGCTGGGTCAACCGTTGACCTTGAACCCATTACAAAAATGCACATTTGATCACTCACCAATCACCTCTACTTTCACTGTGGATGGGCATCTAGCTATGACACGTATGACGTACACCACATTGTGTTGGCCTGATTCTCCACTGACACCAATCCAATGATTAATACGCAATGTGCCACGTGCGACAAGGCCCTTAGGCTTTGGTTTAAAGGAAAATGTATGGAAACGTATAGAAAGTATACCAAACACAGCTTTTCTTTTTCCTATTTTTTCCTTTAAACCAAACACAGCTTTAATGTGTGATCTTCCCTTTTTTATATCCAAATTCCCGTCTGGCTTTGTGCGGAATTCGTAAATATTCTGATAATATTGTATTGATATTTGTATCTCCTCCGGCCCATTTGAACTTTGGTGCTAGATTCGGAGTGAGGTGGATGCAGCAAAACTAGCAAGGGCCTTAAATCAAGGCAATATGGAGGAGGGGAATTGCCAACTGCCAAGCCGATTGCCTCCTTGGGATTGGAGGCTATCATGTCATGGAGATAATACAAATACAGTGTTTTGGTCAAGTTACACTTTCCACTTGTTTCTTCTTTCCTCGATTCTCCCGGTATCAGGTAACAGTGTTGAGTGATTGATAAGTTTGGCATGCAACTTTGCGCGTGTGATTTTGGATCAAGACGAATTGATGCAAAAGGACATTTTCTTAAAACGGGATGTGGGTGGAAGAGGGCCAGCTCCCCCATTTGAACTTTAGTATATATCATAAGGTGGGACTCAATAATAAAGACAAAAAAAAGAAAGAAGAAAAAGATAAAACGAAAGGTTGGAAAGTGAAAAGACTTTTTGTCTCGCTAATACGTTTTTGGCTACTCAGCCAATTGGGAATAGTTCTCTCTCTCTTCTCTCAACACTAATAGCTTAGGCTACCTAATGAATTGAAAAGATTTCTTGTTTCTTATCTATCTGTTGATATTTTTTGTTATTGGAATTCAAGTTCATCATTTAGTTGTAACTAGATAGAAAAATATTGTATTTCATTATTATTATTGACAGTAAATGATTCGGATTTTGGTCTTGTAGTTTTTTACCTCCATATCAAGGGGTTTTCATATAAATCTTGATGCCTACTATTGTTGCTTGTTTTGTGTTTGATTATTTGTTTTCATTACTACATGCTTGTTATTTGTTGCTAAAATCTCTTTAATTTGCATAAAAAAAATATAGGAATCATTCCCAACAGTTTCAGCATCTCTTTTTTTAAGGTTCAGTTTGGAAAGAGTATAACTACAAATATGTGCAGTATAAAACCTTGTATTTTATAAGGGGAAAATCTATGATACCAACAAAAGAGTTTTGATAAATCAAAGCTCACCCATGAATTTTGATAAATACCATTTGATTCGTTAACATGTTTTTGGATATAATGTCTTTCCCATATCATAGTCGAACCCTTAATAAGATTAACTACTTGTATATATATACCTTGAGATTTGACGAAAGTACTTTTATATACCCTGTAATGCCTTCTAAGATGGCTCCACATGTTCTCCATCAATTAAATGTTTAGGCTGTATTTGGTTGCAATGCAAATAAATTTGTATTGATGCAAACCTATGGCAGTGCAAATGATTTAAATATAAATTTTGACCTATTTTTATTTCAAAGTTTAACTTATTATGTTTGATTGCAGTAAAAATGAAATAAATTAAGACATGAAGCAAAATAAAGCAAAACCCAAATTAAAATTAAACAAGAACTTGCATTTTTTTTCATTTGCACTCCTATACCTTTGTATTGGTGCAAATAAAATTGCACTACAACCAAACACAGTCTTAGGGCCATTTATAGTTGTCATTAAATTCTTTTGTAATCCCAAATTTATCCTTCCATTTTGAAAACATTGTTTATCCTCTTCAAACTTCCCAACTAAAACCCTATAAGACCGATGTTCTCTATTCTATTATATTTTCCAAGCACATTTGAGCATAGAAGGTAACGGTGTAAACTATGGATTAGATCAAAAGGATAGCAAGAAATCTAGAGAAAGTTAAAACGGAGAAACGGTGCGAACTACGAACTATGCCTCAACAGGAAGGTGTTGATTGATATAACAATGAATGCAAGTGGCATTTTGTAGAGAGTGAAAAATCTATGGCCTGGCCCCCGGACGGGCTTGAACAGGTACATGGGCCCACGGGCTTAACCTTGGGCCAAAAAGCCCGGCCCAACCTATAATTAAACCTAAAAACCCTAGTCGAATATCTCTCTTTTTTTCACCTCTTTCCATTATTTTTCCAGCCGAACCCTTCTTCTCCACGTCCATTTTCCCTTCTCTATATTCCTTTTTTAATGTAAATAAATTTTGAATTTATATTCTTTTTTAATATAAATAAATTCTAATTCATATTGATTATTGAATAGGGAAAAATTCTATTTTTTTATTAGGTCGGGCTTCGGGCTCGGGCTCAGGCTTTGTGCTTCAGGCTTTTTATCAGGGTCGGGATTGGGCCCAAGTTGTAGGCCCGTTGGTCAGGCCGGGCTCAGGCTCGGACCTAATATATTTCCATTAATGAAGAGTAAAAGCCTGGCCCGGCCCGGCCCATGAACATGTCTAATGGCTATGATGCGAAATGGGCAGAAGGGGTGCTGTGGATTATGTTTTAGAGTGAAGAAAACATTGAAAAAGTTCTAAAAATAATACCTCTAGCTCATCAAAGGTCAAAGCTAGCACCGCATTGTCATCTGATACTATACTGGAAATGTAGGGGCATGTTTTGAAAATTTAATGAATTGTTAAGGACAATTTTGTATTTTTAGGATGTTTCTATTAGACTTAGCATTTGAAAGTTGAACAAGGTTACTGTTATGATTGTGTCTTATTTTACAACCACTGGATTAATTTTAATCTAATGGTTGGTGTGGCCCCTCTTTAGGTTAAAAAGGTTTTACATATAAAAGTTTTTTTTTGTATATAGGGTTAAGGTTTTTTTGGGAGAAAAGGTGTGAGAGAAAAAATACAAAGTGCTCATGGTGTGAGAGTGGATTTTTTTATCTTGTTTTTGTTTTTCGGGTTTAGAGGAAAGGGAGAACGGGTGTACAAGGGTAAGGGTTGGTTTGGGCTGCAAGCCGCAAGGTACTTGTATTGTTCTCAGTTTTCTTTCATAGTGAAGAACAAATTTTGTCTTTCCCGTTGACGTAGGCGGTAAGGCCGAACCACGTAAATCTTTATGTTCTATGTGGTGCATACTTTTATTTGTCTTTGCTTGGATATTATCATTTTTGCTTCCATTATATTTCTTGTACTTGCTATTTCAAATACCTTGTTATTTTATTGTGGATGGTTGTTGTGAGGCCCCAACAAAGTGGTATCAGAGCTCATAGGTTAGTATTTACAAGATGTTTGTAAAATTACTTGAGAGATAATGGCAGCAAAAGGTACACGTTCTCAGTTCCAGATTGAGAGGTTTGATGGCAAAGGCAGTTTTACCCTATGGCAAAGAAGGGGGAAAGACATCCTGGTTCAATAAGGCTTGGCTAGAGCATTGATTGGGAGGACATCGAGTCAAGGTGTGTTAGTATGATTCAATTGCTCCTAGCTGATAACATTATGGAGGAAGATTCTGCACTAGAATTGTGGGATAAGCTGAATAAGCTTTATTTGGGAAAAAACTTAACGACAAAGCTATATCTGAAGCGGCAGTTGTACAGGCTGAAGATGGAAGAAGGTGGGAATCTTTTAGAACACCTAAATGGGTTCAATAGTATCTTGGATCAACTAGAGAAAGTTGATGTCAAGGTGGAGGAAAAAGAGAAGGCCATTTTACTTCTTACCTCACTTCTTGATTCGTATGAAAACTTGGTGACAACATTGTTGTACGGGAAAGATACAATGAAGCTAGAAGAATTTATTGTGTCTCTTCTATCTAATGAGGTTAGAAG